TTTTTTTTTTTTTTTTTTTATATATATATATATATATATATATATATATATATATATATATATATATATATATATATATATATATATATATATATATATATATATAATTATTTATTTATTTTTTTAACAGAAAAGCGTGCATTCATCAGGAAAAAAATACTTTGACAGTTTAACAGGTTTCTGTAGTGCGATGGTCTAGAACCACGTTGTTGCTTAACAATTTGAGCATTTGTGCCAATTGAAGGAACCAAGGATTCTTCTCTTTGTCTGAAAATTTTAAGAGGAGATTGTCCGACTTGAGATTTGTGACTTAAGCTCAAGCTCACTTGGGTACTGCAGCAGGACAATGACTGAAGGGACAGCAGCAAGTTCACCTTTGAACAGCTCAAAAATTAAGACAATATGTGGAGGTTTTGGAGTGGACTAGTCAAAGTCTAGACTTATATGTAACTGACATACTTTTCCATAAAGACTTAAGTGCTGGAAGACCCTCCAGTGTGGGTCAATTAAAACAATTTTGCAATCAAGACGGCCAGTTTCATTTGGTTGTTTTTTTTTCTTCTTTTTTTTTTTCTAATTAATAATTTAGCATTTAAAACCTGCATATTTAGAATAACTCACCTTTTATGTCTTGGTCATTAAAATTTTGAACAAAATACAAGAAACTTTTTCTCACAGCTTTGTGCCATGATAATATAAAACTTGGCATTGCTGTTTCCCTGACCTTGTTTACTTTTTCTCTTTACTGTCACTTCCAACTTTTTCAACCTTCTGTTAGGTTATTACATAAAACCGTAACTGTGATCATCCATTACTTCCTGTGTTAATGCCCAACAAAGATGATGTAGTGCGTTTGCCACATAACATGTTATGCTTTTGTGTTTACGTGTAAATAAAAGCATTTTCCGTTATGAACGAGTCAACCTTGTTACCTGAGCGATGAGGTCGTTTCTGCTCTGAAAACGGCCTGTGGAGAGCAATTTGAACGGTTACTTTAGACGTCAGACGACGATAACTGTGATCTGATTTAATAATCCGAGCGCGTACCTGTTGTAGATGTTCATGAGGACTGTTGATTTTAAAGTGACAGGGGAAAAAAAAAATAAATACAATTATTTCCAAATCCAAACGTGAGAAACATAACAATTCTCTGTCATATTCAAATAGAGAAGTTACTTTACCCGGGTTAGATTCACTTTGACTAATATTTGCAAGTTATTTAAATATTTCTGTGGAACTTCAGCATGTATGAGCTAAGGCAGGAAGGTGGCGAGGAATACTCTGAAATGTTACTACCGTCACGTTGGCTCATTGGCTTTCAGAAATAAATAATAGACCTAAACTCATGTTGACTGATGATACAAGATCTTTAGGAAACCACATGTGTTAAAAAAAGTTAATCATACAAGGGCATCACCCTACCTCTCTTTGGATGACATGCCCTGCGGAAGAGGAACAGCAGCATGAAGCCAATGATGAATGAAGAACAGACCGCGATGGCTGCCAGCAGAGACGTAGATCTACCGTCATCGGCGTATTTCTCTTTCACTGTTCATAAACAAAGACAACATATAGCTGAGTATAATTTTCAGACAAGACGGTGATTTAAAAAAATGTTTCCCCTTCCTCGAACTCGTGCACGACTTCCTGCAGTTCCAAGAAGTCATGCACAAACATGCCCTCAGCAGATGGGTCTTTTGAATGAATATAACTTGCAAGCAATAAAAGGAATGCTTATGACTCACAGTGAGTGGCAGCACTTTTTAAAATCAAGAGACTTTGTGCATGAAATATGTCTTTAAAGTGGGACGTAATGAGGTAATCACACTCAATCATGTCGCCTTCCATGTTTGGAAACCTACTTATTGGGCTAATTTAAATAAATTAAAAAATGTAAAACACAAAGTGTAAAAAAAAGGCCCTCATTTAATCTAAAATGTATCTATCTTGATAATAAAAAACAAAACGTGTGTCGAGGTTCGCCCATGATTTTGACTTCTTTTCTTTCTTCTTTTTTTAAAGGTGTCTGGCATGACTTCTGTTGACTCACACCAAACTGAGTTTTAAATCAAAGGAAGTATCGGCAATAACCGTCACTGTGACTCTTGCTCTCACTATCACCAAGACAACATATCAATGCCCCATACGGCACACAGAAACTGCCCGTGCTATAAAACTCAGTCAATAAACACAACAGCTGTTATGCCCTGTTGACTTTCCCAGCCACTGAACTCTAATACAGACTGCAGCTGACAGCAACCTGGCAACAGAGATAAAATCTTAGTTTCAATAATAGTCTTGAATGTTTTATGCTATATCCATAACCTGCTTGTGCGACTCAGCTGCTGTGTAGAATAACGCTTGTGATGCAGTATTATTACTAGAGTGGACAGCTTTATCATTCGGAAAGTGTCATCTCTCTTTTTTTTTTTTTTTTTTTTTTTTTAAACGCTTCATCAGACTCTTCTGCTTTTGGCACCAAGCGCAGTTCACAGAGTGTTTATCTAAGAGGATTCCCAAAACCAACCCACGCTCCGCTCCGTCCTGCCGATATTCCGCCCTCCACCCACCTGTTCTCAAGCTGGCCACCACCAGAGTGAACTGGGCCTCGTCCTGCTTCTTGGTCACGTTGTTGAAGGCTCGGCACAGGTAGTCCTCAGTCTGGGCCAGCTCGTCGGACTTCACCTGCAGCTGCGGGCCCGTTGTGATGATCTTTGTGGCATTGGGGCTCTTGGAGATCCAGACGTAGCTGTTGGGGGGGTTGGAATCGGCCTGGCATTCGAAGTGCACCAGCTCTCCGGGGTTGATGGTGAACACCTTCCCTGTTCGGAGGCCCTGGCCGGAGTTCACCTCCAGGTTGTAGGGACCATCTGTGTGCGGGTAGTAGGGGACATGACAATTTGTTTTGCTAAATAGTACTCCATAGTTTAATGGACAGTCTCATTTCAATGCATGATGGGAACATTTTAGATCATCTGCTTACAGGATTTTAATAACCACTGAGTGAGTTGAGCCCGGTTTGCCTAACCTCACTTTTTATAGTCAGGTTTCATGTCGTGGTGTCAAAACTAGACCCATGGGGCTTGTGTCTTGGTGTGCTCCTGCGAATGAACACCACTGGTTTGGAGCAACAAATTTCAAAATACACCTCAGTAAAGTGATTTAGGGGTAAAGTGATTTAATTAAATGCTCTGTCATTGAATTGGCAGCTACTTTGTTTCAGCAGTTGTGTACATGTTCAATACACGTAATATGTGTTTGGCACTTATATAGCGGAAATCTATAACCTGTCCCCCAAAAAATCCATTGTGGTAATCAAATTGTGTCGTTAATATTTCCCAATGCTACTAAAATGAAAACCTGATAAGCAATAGTGTGACAGAATAAACAGAGAGCTCATTTTCTCTTTAACTTAACTGTATATGTTTATATCAGAAGTGATGCTTCAAACGTTCCACGCTAGAAAAAGGGCAACATTATCTATTTTAACCCCCAAAGTGAAAGAAAAACTCAAACACTGAAGCCTGAAACACTTGTGCGTCTTGCTTTTAAACACTCAATAATATTGGTTGCTGACATGTACCAGGACAAGTTTGGCCTTAAGGGGAAAGCATATCTCCCTACTCTAGTTTCACTGTAAGGAGGCGCCATAATTATATCAACAGGTAACACACTCCTGTGCAAAACACATCAAGCCAGAGTTTGATGCTGTGTGGTCACAACAAAAAACAATGTTTATTATTTTTGAAAATAGGTGAAATGGGTGAAACACAAGAATCTCATAGGACGGCATTATTGCAGGGTCCCTTTTGAATATGTTCTCCAAATCCCAGCATAAATCGTGACTTATCCAAAAGTGACAACAACTTCAGACTTTGGCGGTTACACTTAAGGTCAGAAAATTCAGAAAAACAAAAAAAAAAAAAAAAAAACAAAAAAAAAAACCTTCTGTGTCTTTATCTTTGGTTTCGTTGAAATTATCACATATTCAAATTAATTCACAAATTTTACTCCATGTTGCTTCAAACCCGCAGAACTAGGAGAGCTTTGTCAGCACTCCTCGCAAAAATATCAGAGCCCACTGAGATAAATGTGCTCCCATGCAAATACTTTCCCGTAAGAGAAATATGTTTTCAGGTAGCAGCAGGAGTTCATGAAAATTTACATACAGCCTGATCAAACACCTCGGGGCAGAGGGCTGCAAACGAGAGAACTTAAAAAAAAAAAAAAGTAGACATAATATGTTTAGAATTTGTTGTCAGAACATTAACGTTGGGACGATGAAAACATATCTGTGAACACTTTTACATAAAGATGGTTAAAATTAAAGAACAGATTTGCTGTGGCGTATAATTTAAACTAAGTGGCAGAGTGCTAAATATATATTCTGTTCACCGCTTAAGTTATTAAATTGGTGAACTGACCCATTGGACAACGTGTAAGTGTTTTGTGGGTGAGAGTTAAAGGGTTAAATAGTGGTAGCAGCATTGTGTTCCCAACCATCTGCAGGTTTAGTCTCATTGATATTTGTTTTCAAATTATGAAAGAGGAGCCATCAACACGAACAGTGTTTAGATGTTGAATTTTCAGCCTTTTACGGTGTTCAGCTGAGTGTCAACTCAGCTGAACACTAAAAGACAGAAAAGAAAGGGATGTCTACTCACAGTAAACATTGAGCTCCACTCCCCTGCTTTCCATGATTTGGCTCACAGGGTTGCTGACAGCACAGCGATAAGTCCCCTTGTCCTCCTTTCTCACAGGGCTAATCAACAGCGTGGATTTGTCTTGAGTAAAGTGGTATCTCTCGCTGGGAGTAAGTAAAACATTATCCCTTAGCCACCGGAAGGCAACTCTTGTTCCTTTCTCAACAGAACAAGTCCAAGTTACATTTGCTTTGTCTTCTATGACTGTATATGATGGCCTCCTCTCAATGACTGGTCTGGAGACAGGCTCTAAAAAGAAAAAACAAACAAAACAAAAAAAACCCAAAACATTTCTAATTGTGGATGTAATCAGCATGTAAGGGAGCATAAAATCAAAGAGTTAATAACTCACCATCTACTGTCACATGGATAGTTCTTTCTTCTTTCTTCACCGTTCCTTTTTCGCTATGAAACTCTATGTTGAGGCTCAGCTTGTAATATCCCTCGTCGTCCTCGTTCAAATTCCGGATGGACAGAGAAGCGTTTGGCTCCTTGAAGTCCAGGCGCTTGCGGTACATCATGTCTATGATTTTGCTGTCTTTGTTAAATGAGACCAAAATGGTGCTAGCACCGTTCACGTTAATGTGAGACCAACTTCCCTGGATCTCAGCTGCATCCGGTGGAAATCTGGCGTCGACAGAGAGGAGAAGATCCTTCCCTTTGGTTCCATGATGAACCGATGAACGAATGTGAATCAGTTCGCAGCCGACATCTGAGATAAAGGACATTAGGAAAACAAAAACAAATAAACAAAAAAACAAAAAAAAACTGAAGATGACTTGTTAAATCTTCAGCTAAAGATATGAACTTACTCTATAATGTGCTGTATGCCAACACGAAATAATTTGAATGTGAAGATGCTAAATAAACAAGCAACAATTTACGTTCAGGAGTTTTTCTCAGTTTTTTGAAGCAGCTCCTCCATCTTCTTTTTGGATTATATACAAATAAAAATGAAAAGTTGGTGATAATTGAATCATACCAACGAAACGATTTCAATTTAACGATGTCCTTCCACAATAGTTCAGTACTAAAATACAAAAATGTAATTCTTTAGATTACCCAACACAACTTACTGCAGTTATTTTCTGTATATGCTTTCTATTTCTGTTACCCAAGAAAATGTTATTGACCAGCACTGGTTGCTGGTGAGTCTATGAAACCAAACCAGTGCATCCAGTTTGCATCCTGCTTTTCAAATTGCCCACGTCCTGAAACTGTAGTGAGTTAATATTGACCCAGCTCACTAAAGGGTGTCGTTGTTGCCAAGCTTGAGGCCTGTCTGATCCTGACTCCCTGGGCGGCAAAGCGGTCAGGCTTGTCTGAAGTCTGAAGTTACAGTAATTGCTGATGTATTGAGCGTCTTCGTCTGTTTAGGCTTCGGTTTGGTTGCCAGGCAGTGAGCTACAACGAGCCCAAAAAGGAGGAGTTGTAAAGAACATGCGACTCTTTAAAACATGTGCAAAACAAGCTGAAATATTTATCATTTTTCATTGAGTGGTCTGTTTCATCTTCCTCTTTCTCTTTTGTGAACCACACTTCTATTTGTGTACAGTCTTTCTCTGGAATCAGCGCTGAAAGTAATAGCACCCTCATGAGAAGCAGTGCCAGTTCTTCGTTTGTGCAAAATTTAAGCAAATAGTTGGATTCGCTTTTGGCCCAATAAGCTTTTCCCTCTTTTGAGGTCTACTTGGTACAATGCCCTGCATTCACACCGCATTCACCTGAGCGTAATTTAATCGCAGATTAGATCCAGCCGTTCTGTGAAAGCCACAGGGGGGGTTGAGAGAGAAACGGCGTCACGAAGACCAAGGAACACAGCGGACAGGTCAGGGATCCAGTTGTGGAGACGTTTAATAATTACAAAAGAAGCAAAAGAGGTCCATAATAACTTTTGAGGAGCTGCACAGACACACAGCTCAACTGGGAAAAACGTTGCAAGAGCAGCAAGAAGCCAACAACTGTTAAAGGAGAGCCGTCAGAAGTCCAAGCACAGGACACAAGCAAATGTGTGGAAGAAGGTGCATTGTTCAGATGAGACTTTGGGTGAACTGTTTATGCGTATATGCATGGGTATGTGTGATGCTAAGCACCTTGAACACATTTTTCTCACAGTGGAATATGATGGTAGGAACATTATGGGATGCTCTACTTCAGCAGAGACAGAGGAGACGGTGCAAAATACTGCAGTCGTAGAGATCAGTACCACTAGAAAATGTGCTAGTGGGCAAAAGACTTGAGACTGAGGTGACATAATGGGCCTAAACATGCAACTAGAGCTACAGTTGAATGGTTTGCATCAAAGCATTCTGATGGGAGAACGGCCTAGTCAAACTACGGAGCTAAGTTCAAGTGCTAGTATTCTCATTCTTATGGAAAGTACTCGCCCGGGTTAGCTAAACATAAATGTGCGTCCCAGTTTTTTGATTTGTCTTCCTCTTCGCCATAATGCACTACCCTGTGTTGATCTATCACAAATAAATTCCATTGAAGTTTGTGGTTGTGACCAAATGCAAAACAAAAAGTTAAATCGGTAGAAAATCATTTTTTCGGGGCACAGTTTCAGCCTGCTCCTCGGCGACTGCCGCCCACGTTGCTCATCACAATACATCTACTGTGTGACTGCTGTTATGTCCTAAATAATACATGCAGCGCAAAAAAGCCACAGTGACACGTTCCACTCTCCAGCCCGCAGGCCAGTTTCTGTGTCACTGTGTGTGTGCGTGTGTGTGTGTGTGTGTGTGTGTGTGTTGTCAGTAGCATGAGTGCGGCTGTGTTTACACCAGCTGAGAGCTGGTTAAAAAGGGCAAAATGAGGAGAAGTGTGCCCAGCCCGCTCCCTCACTGTTGTCCCCAAACAGCTTGGTAATTGTTGTGGTGATAGAGTGTAGATTGCTGTGACAATGGGCTTTTAGGGCGAGAGGATATCTTCGTTTAGCGGACATGCCCTCACAGATTTTAAACAAGCAGCATGTGGAGAGCTGCCAGCACCTGCCCCTTATCGCCCTCACTACACATCCAAGATGTTTGGACACTAAATAAAGTCAACAGGTGCATCTCTGAACACCGCCATCCCCTGTGCTTTAAACAGACAAGACAAACAGGCCTTCATGTCAGGGAGGGTTGGTGATACAAATATCAAAGCAGTTCGGAAAGTTCATGCTGGATGAATTTTATGTAGTTTGTAATGAGTGAAGTACACTGGTTCATGAATGCAGTTTCTGAGTCACAGATGAGTCCTCACGGTGGCTTTCCACTAACCTTAACCAACAATAGAACTGAAGCTAATTCTGTCAAGTCACATTGTGCTGCTGACGGCGGAAGGACATATTTTTTAGATTTCCTTATTTAGCAAGAAAACCTAAGATCTGAGGTCAGCTTAGATTCAAAACAGGCATCAGTAAAGTTCTTTAATTTAAGAAAATTTCTCATATCATAAATTTTTTTTTGTAATAGGAATTAGAAAGATGCCAACGACTTGTTTCAGTTTGGAGTGGTTAGAGCTTTTTTTATGCTTAAAAATTGCAATCAAGTTTCATCATCCTCATTGGGAAATAATTTTCCAAAAGTTTTGGAAGATATTGTCAAGCAATGTCTCAATCCACCTGAGTTGTACCCTGCAAGGCAAAAATATACAGGAACATCATAGTTACTACTTTGTTTTGTTGTTTTTTTTTTTTTTTGTCTTTTCTTATTCCCAAAAGTTTATTATTTTTCAGTTGTGCAAAAGTTGCAATATTCCGCATATCAAAGAACAAATCCACTCCTGACTCTGCACAGCAGCCGGTCCCATCGTGTAGCTTAGCGTAGCGGAAGGCATAGGACACAATTTTAAAAATATATATAAATACATAAATACAAATGTAAAAATAGATAAATACAACAAGTCAAGCTAACAAAGAATAAAAATAATAAAAATTGAGGAGAACACAAAACATTTATCTAAGTTTAAATTTTTATTTTTTATTATGTTTAGAAATAAATTAATAACTACAGCCCATCGTTTTCACTGAAAAAAATAATTTCTTGAAATTGAGGAAACTATACTGTTTAGAAACTCCCGCAATCATTCTATGAAATTATTAATTATTATAATTTCCTGCCTCATTGATAAATAAATGTCATTTATTAACATCAACTATTGAGCAGAGGGAATAATGTGTGTTTCCCTTTTTGTCCAGCAAATCTGCTACTGACACAGCCAAAGCAGCAAGTTCTACTTTACTGCTCGCCTAAGCTGTTAGGACTGGACAGAAAAAAAACCAAACAAAAAAACAGAAATGCAAACAAAAATAAATTGTCTTAGCAGACCCACTCTGACGACACAAGCGCAGGAACTTGTCGCTGTCTAAAAAAAGAGAAAAGCTTTCCGAAATATAGCTTTTATTGACAAAATTTACCGCACAAAAGCGTTTGTAACTTTTCATCCACAAGCTAAAGAGATTTTACGTGATAGACCAGAACCGTGCTTCTTAGCACCTTGTCACGAATCCATCACCACTCCTTGACTGTGTCATCATGACAGTGTTGTAATCATGCAAACACATGAAATTTCAAGCACAATTCATTATATTGTTCAGAGAACTACTTTGATAAAAACAATGTAAAGGAAAAGAAAGCATTTAAACAAACAGTAGAATAAATTTTAATGGGAAACTCATCTATCAATTGTTTGGATATTTCCTCCTATGTCCTGACAAGTTCAATTTTTTTAAAGTCTGTCGTAAAGCAGCATTCACCCCCAGTTTTAGAACAAATCTGCCGCTGACACTGCGAGGCAACCGGTCCCACCGTACCTGCGCAGTAACAGCAACGGTCTTAACTAACACAACCAAGCTCCGCATCCCGCCGCAAAAGCGCTTTGAAACCCTCACCTGTTAGGGCAAACAGGACGGAGCAGACGCACAACACCGTTGTTCTGGTGGCCTCCATGGCATCTTATCCTTTGGGGAATATGAGGGACTTCTGATGCGCAGGCAGGGCGTGTGGGACGTCGGTCAGAGGAGAAAAGAGGAAGGGAAAGAGGAGTAGGAGGAGGCAAAGGAGGAGGAGGAGGAGAAGAGAAGTGAGACTGGCTGTGGTGACAACATTTGCCAGGGAAATAAGAAGAGCTGCAGAAGCTTTCCTGCATGCAGCTCTATGCTCCTCCCATGTGACACAGAGCAAGAGGTCCACCTGGCAGAGAGGAGCTGCACAGTGTGGCCCTGACATTCACACAGAAACAAACCTGCCCCTGAGGGTGAGGGTCTTGGTCTGTCAAAGGGGAACCGAGACATGAAACTGTAAAAGGATAGTCGAGAGCAGGGTGTCTTTACACTTTAGCGCACCAGCTGTCTGCTGCTTCGATGCCCGGGGCTGCGAAAACAAAGCTTTTAACTCCTAACGCCATGTGGCAATTGTTGCTCAGCCATCAGCAGCCAGCTATTCAGTCAGGAATCGTGCTGGAAGTCTAGAAAGACGAGAGCTGAAAGCCAGAACATCCTGCACAAATAAAATACCTATCAAGTGTTTTCCCCAAGACGTTCGCCCTCTAGGAAAACACCGGGGAGAAGAATGAGTCTAAAGTTGGAAGAAAAAAAAATGTTCACTGAGTTCCCTTCACAATGTTCGCTTTCAAAGAAATGTGCATTTTGCTCTTCATCTGTGAAAAGGGCAGATGCAAATGAGGAGATTACTGTGGAAATGTCTTCTTTTCCACTAAAGTCGCCAAATATCTCCACAGACATCCTCCTGTCCTGCCTACAAAGTCGTCCAGATTAAAACGAGGATTTGTCTTAATTTGATTTCCAGAAGGCCAAATTAAACATTGGCTGTCGCACTTCATATGTCCCCTGGTTATTGCCGCAGAAGGTTTTGTTGCTTGGACGACGCGGTCAGCTCAGGATTGAACGGCACAGCGAATGAATTGGGTCATTGTAAACTGCGTAAATAAGTCCCTGATTTGATGATGGCACCATTAGGGAAATTGGTTATTTGTGTATTCTCAGACCCCCGTTTCTGGGATGCTTGATTCCAAAGGAAAATAAGCAAAATTATATTGAAACAGTTTCAGCATTCCTTAAAGGGGAAAGCATGGTTTGGCAGTTTTTATTCAACCTTAAGCCCAAGCATTCTTTCTGGTTTTGAAGTTTTCATACTTAAATTGAATGAAAGTCAGATGTTCCTCATGTTTTCCTTTCTAACGAACTGAAACCTTTATGTGCGTCTCTTTCTTTCAGTCGCCAGAGACTGCATGGCTCTGTTTTGCCTGTAGGTGGGGTCATCACATCAGTTATTCAGTCCTGTGTTGTAGCTAAGAGGCCTTCACAATTTAAATACTTAAATCAAACTTTGTGTTCTAGCTGCTCCGTTTTGATCAGGGCTTTATCTTGAGAGCTACTTGCTGTTTTTATTTTTGACCTTTCTAAAGAGCAAATGTCGATGTTTTTTTTCACACTTTGGAAAGACACTTTCCAGTTGTATAATTTTTTATACTGAGAAATGTATTATTGAGGAAAGCAATTTCACTATCACCTCTTGAGGAAGTGTCCATTAAACTCTCTTATCATCATCGTATCAGGGCAGAGAGGATTTATTATGTTTTGTTGTTGTTTTTATCTTTAAGCTGAGATACTCCAGCTAAAAAGACCATTTTGTTTTCAGACGCTCAAGCAGATTCAGTGCAAGACTATGTAATTGATGTTTACAGTTACTTCCCATTTTGCAAAGAAAAAAAAAATGTTCAAAGCAGATGGAAACATAAAAGACTTGCAGCTGCAAATGCAGTTACAAGTGGCTGTGCAAAGTCTTGATTCAGGGCTGCGAGATACAAAAGCAGGTTTGTAAAAAAAAAAAAAAAAAAAAAAAAAAAAAAAAAAAAAAAATTTTTCCCCCCCCCCCCCCCTTTTTCCCCCCTTCCAAAAACCGCCGAA